TTTGCAAATTTCCCTTTGATTAGCTGCATTTGATCATTTGAATTTTAATGTTCAAATTTAAACGGTTCAAGTCCGATTGGCTGAATTTCCTAATTCGATTTGACTATTTAAATTTAAATACGTCGAATCTGATTGGCTGACTTCTCGTAATTTCAATGTGACTATTTAAATTTGTGTACCTCGAATTTGAATATTTCAAGGAGCACTTTAAATTTGATTCTTCACTTCGATAATTTAAATTTTAACGTTCCGAATTTCAATATTTCTATTCTTCGCCCAATCGATATTTCACCTCTTCGTTTCTTGTATTCCGAAACGAAGAGTCGCCGAAGAAAATTACACGCTCTGTTACGTCTTCGAGGTACGTTTCTCAGGTAAGACAAACCGCGATCCAAACGATGTTCATCAACGGAACTGTGTCGAACGAGGATTTTTTGCGATTCTGCGGCATTTACAGTAACGCGAGCAAAGAATCCTTCTCAAGCTGCATCGACATCGCGTGCTTTTCGCGTTCAACTGGGCTAATGTTCGACGTCTCCGTAAAAAGGCATCGGTAAGTGCCGCGTGGAAAAACGGCTTCGCCTTGAAAAGGGACTTGGAGCTGTGCTCGTGCGCGCACACTCCTTGACCATTATTACTCGAGCTTTTTCACGCTGTGCTCGACATCGGTTCATTTGTTTTTTATGCGTACCTTTTGGTAAAACGAGAGATTCTCAATGAACGAGCCTCGTAAACGAAAACAGTATTTCTTCAATTTTTAAACACACTGCGGGAAACATATTTCACATCGTGTCACGAGTCACAAATAATAATATTTATGTTGACTATCATTCACCATCGTTGCCTATAATCTTTATTTTCTAAAATTTTCCTAGACTTCCGAATAAAAAATTACGATCTACGAAAGTCTCTGAAATCTCTGAAAAAGTAGATCTACGCGTGCAAATGTTTTCGTCTGTTAAATTGAAACCAAAATTTTTTCTTTTTAATTTCCCTGAAAATGTGCTTATTTCGGGTCTCCTTTAGGATAAAACGAATTGTGCTCTCGGTATTTCAGATCTGAATCGTCCGACTGATATACAAGCGTGTGACGAAAGCTTCGAAAACTTCGAATACGAAATGAGCGAACGAAGTTGAAAGAGAAGTGGTGCTTTGTGTCGATGATACTTTCGCCAAATGAATTTCAAGCCACGTCGAAACAAAACCTGCATCCATCTGAATGCCATTCATACCAGTTTCGAGCGATATTTGTACACGGTTTCGTTTTCCGCTGAATTTCAACATTCTGCACAAGTTATTCATACACTTTCAACAATAACAACGTGTCTAGACAGAATTTTCTCCTCACATTGAATCTTTTATACAACGTGTGCATTACGGTGCATTCAGCGTGCGAGTGCACTTTCTTCCCTGGC